AATTCCCTCACACTTTTCAGGATTAAACTTCATCTGCCACTTCTCAGCCCAGCTCTGCATCCTATTAATGTCCCTTTGTAACCTCGAACAGCCCTCCGCACTATCCACAACTCGAGCCACCTTTGTATCATCCACGAACTTGCTAATCCACCCCTTCGTCCAAATCATTTACAAAAATCACAAATAGAAGAGGACCCAGAACAGATCCTTGTGGTACACCACGCGTAACTGAATGCCATGTTGAATATTTTCTGTCCACTACCACCCTTTGTCTTCTAAGGATCAGCCAATTCTGAATCCAATCTGCCACATTTCCCCCTATCCCATGCCTCCTTACTTTCTCCATGAGCCTACCATGGGGAACCTTATCAAACGCCTTACTTAAATCCATGTATACCACATCCACTGCTTCCCTTCATCCACGTGTTTGGTCACCTCTTCAAAGAATTCAATAAGGTTTGTGAGGCATGATCTACCCCTCACAAATCCATGCTGACTATCATGAATCAAACTGTGCCTATCCAAATGATCATAAATCCTATCATTCAGAGCCCTTTCCAATAATTTGCCCATCACTGAAGTAAGACTAACTGGCTTGTAATTTCCGGGGTTATCCCTGTTCCCTTTTTTGAACAAGGGAATGACGTTTTCCACTCTCCAATCTTCCGGCACTATACCCGTGGACAGTGAGGATGAAAAGATTATCGCCGAAGGCCCTGCGATCTCTTCCCTCGCTTTCAGTAGAATCCTTGGATAAATCCCACCAGGCCTGGGGGACTTATCTATCTTCAAGTTCCTCAAAATTCCTAGTACATCTTCCTTATGAGCATCCACCTCCTCTGGCCTACCAGCCTGTTTCACACTGCTCTCCCCTACAACTAGGTCCCTCTCAGTTGTGAATACTGAAGAAAAGTATTCATTCAGGACATCTCCTATCTCTTTAGGCTCCGTACACAAATTCCCTTTACAATCCTTGATCGGCCCTACCCTTTCTCTGGTCATTCTCTTATTCCTCACGTATCTGTAAAGAGCCTTGGGGTTTTCCTCGATCCTATCTGCCAAGGCTTTCTCATGCCCCCTTATAGCTCTCCTAAGCCCTTTCTTCAGCTCCTTCCTGGCTAACTTGTATCCCTCTAGAACCTTTTCCGATCCTTGTTTCCTAAACCTTATATAAGCATCCTTCTTCCTCTTAACTAGTCGTTCGACCACTCTTGAGATCCAAGGCTCCCTCACTCGACCGTATCTTCCCTGCCTGCTAGGGACAAACATATCAAGCACATGCAGTATGCTTTCCTTAAACAAGCTCCACTTTTCTATAGAGCTCTTCCCTGACAGCATCTGTTCCCTGACAGCAAAAGGATTGAAGGAGGATTTGGCTAAAGTAGACTGGAAGTAAAGACTGTATGGTGGGACAGCAAAAGTATATACCAGTGAAAAGGAAGGACTGTAGGAAAAGGAGTAATCAATCATCGATGTCTGAGGAAATAAGGAAAGCTATCAAACTGAAAGATAAGGCATACAAAATGGCAAAGACCAATGGGAAACTAGAAGATTGGGAAAACTTTAAAGGTCAACAGAAAGCCACAGAAAAGACTATAAAGAAAAGTAAGATGGATTATGAGACTAAACTAGCTCAGAATATAAATACAGATAGCAAAAGGTTCTATAAATATATAAAACGAAAAAGAGTGGCTAAGGTAGACATTGGTCCTTTAGAAGATGAGAAGATGGGTTTAATAATGAGAAATGAGGAACTATCTGAGGCATTAACAAGTATTTTGTTTCAGTCTTCACAGTAGAGGACACAAATAACTTGCCAGTAATTGGTGACAAAAGAGACTAAGGCAGGTGAGGACCTAGACATGATCATTATCACGAAAGTGGTAGTGTTGGGCAGACTAATGGAGCTAAATGGGGTGGCATGGTGGCTCAGTGGTTAGCACTGCTGCCTCACATTGCCAGGGACCCGGGTTCGATTCCACCCTCGGGTGACTGTCTGTGTGGAGTTTGCACATTCTACCCATGTCTGTGTGGATTTCCTCCGGGTGCTCCGGTTTCCTCCCACAGCCTAAAGATGTGCAGGTCAGATGGATTGACCATGCTAAATTGCCCGTAGTGTTCAGGGATGTGTAAATTAGGTGGGTTAATGGGGGATGGGTCTGGGTGGGATTCTCTGACGATCGGTGTGGGCTTGTTGGGCTGAACAGCCTGTTTCCACATTGTAGGGATTCTATGATTCTCTGAAATGTAGACAAGTCTCCTGGCCCAGATGGAATGCATCCCAGGGTACTTAAAGAGATGGCAGGAGTAACAACAATGTACTCCTGGTGCTTTTCTAAATTCACTGGACTCTTGGGCAGTTCCAGCAGATTGGAAAACAGCCAATGTGATGCCATTGTTCAGAAAAGGAGGTGGACAAAAGATGGAGAATTATAGGCCAGTTAGTTTAACTTCTGTGGTGGGGTAAATCTTGAATCTATCATCAAGGAAGAAATAGCAAGACATCTAGATAGAAATTGTCTCATTGGGTGGATGCAGCATGGGTTCAAGAAAGGCAGGTCATGCTTGACTAATTTGCTGGAATTCTGTGAAGACATTACGAGTGTGTTAGACAACGGGAATCCAGTAGATATGGTGTATCTGGATTTCCAAAAGGCATTCAAAAAGGTATCGCACAAAAGGCTGCTGCATAAGATAATGGTACATGGCAAAGTATTGGTATGGTTCAAGGATTGGTTAACTAACAGGAAGCAAAGAGTGGAGATAAATGAGTGTTTTTATGGTTGACGAACAGTGACTAGTGGTCTGCCTCAGGGGTCAGTGCTGGGACTGCAATTGTTTACAATTTGCATAGATGATTAGGAGTTGGGGACCACGTGTAGTGTGTCAAAGTTTGTAGATGACACTAGGAAGAGTGGTAGAGCAAAGTGTGCAGAGGACTCTGAAAGTTTGCAGAGGGATATAGATAGTTTAAGTAAGTGGGCAAAGGTCTGGCAGATGGTACAATGTTGATAAATGTGAAGTCATCCATTTTGGTAGGAATAACAGTAAAAAGGACTATTATTTGAATATTAAAAAAATTCAGTATGCCGCTGTGCAGAGGGACCTGTGTGTGTTTTTGCATGAATCGCAGAAGGTTAGTTTGCAGATGCAACAGGTAATTAAGAAGGCAAGTGGAATTTTGTCCTTCATTTCTAGACAAATTGAATTTAAAAGCAGGGAGGTTATGTTGTAGCTGTATAGGATGCTGGTGAGGCAACACCTGGAGTACTGTGTGCAGTTTTGCTCTCCTTACTTGAGAAAGGACGTACTGGCACTGGACAGAGCACGGAAGAGATTCACTAGGTTGATTCCAGAGATAAGAGGGTTGGCTTATGAAGAGACACTGAATAGACTAGAATTATATTCGTTGGAATTTAGAAGAATGCGGAGGGATCTTATAGAAACATATAAAATTATAAAGGGAATAGATAAGGTAGAAGCAAGGGCAATGTTTCCTCTGGCTGGTGAAAATGGAACAAGAAGGCATAGCCTCAAAATCAGAGGGACCAGATTTAGGACTGAATTCAGGAGGAATTTCTTTAACCAAAGAGTTGTGAATCTGTGGAATTCCTTGCCCAATAAAGTAGTTGAGGCTTCCTCATTGAATGTTTTTAAAGCTAAGATAGATAATTTTTTGAATAGCAAGGGAATTAAGGGCTATGATGAGAGGCTAGATAAGTGGAACTGATGCCATGAAAAGATCAGCCTTGATCTTCTTGAATGGTGGAGCAGGCTCGGAGGGCCAGATGGCCTAATCCTGCTCCTGGTTGTTACATTCTTATGTCTCCTGGAACAAAATGTCCAGGTAACTTTCTGTCTCTGATCATTGAATCACAGAAATGTTATAGTCTGGAAGAAGGCCACTCAGCCCATCATGTCTGCACCGGCTCTCTGAATGAGCATTATTACATAGTGCCAATTCTGTGCCTTTACCCCACACCCCTGCACATTGTTTCAATGCAAATAATCATCTAATGTGCTCTTGAATGTCAGGGAGGGTATTCTGGACTTGAACTATTTGCAGGTGAGAAAGGTTTTTGCAGATAACTTTAAATGGACTAATTTTTCAGGTCACTTTAAAGTTGTGCTCTCTCATTCTCAAACTTTATTAGTAATGCATCATAATAAAAGGAAGCTCAGACTCCAGCTCATTAAAACTGAGCCGAAGTTCCTTATTGTCCATGTCTATGGATCATAGTGGTGCCCAATTCTACGGCTGCAACATATCACTGCTATCTTTACTGCATTTTGTTTAGCTAATTAGTGTTTCACATTTAGAAACACCAATAATTAGTATTTATTCAAGTTGTTTGACTATTGAAGCTATAAATAGCATGCCATTGTGGCAATGGATATGTAGTATCATTTTCATTTTCTTGTCTTTTTCCCAACAGTGGTGCACTAATATCCTGAAGGTAGTTATCCACTACTTGTTTTTGGTACAATTATATAATCAATTACCACATATGTGAGTACATCATGCTGCAATGTTAGGTTACTACTTTTAAAAATGTCACTGTATTTCTGCTATTTCTAAATGCATATTAATTAAATGATAAGATCCCATAAACAATTATGTGGAATGAAATAATGTCACAAGTAAACTTTCCTGGTAAAATCCAAACAAAGGTTGGTGTAGATCCTAGGACGACCCTATATTAGTTTAAAAATAAGAGTCCAGAGTTTCATTTTCATTTACTTCTCATTATGCTTAACCTGTGTCTATCCCATCTCAGGGAAGCTCTAATTATGAAAATCAACTGAAGAATCCAACCAAATAGTGGGATGACTAAAGTGGAAATTTTGTGTCCATTTGACCAGTTCAACCAGTGTTACAATATATTCACAATTATAAATAACTTCTTTCTGAAAAAGGATTTATGTCTGGTGAATATACTCAAAGTCTATTAGGTTTTTGAATACTAACATACTGTCACTTATTTTGTCTTTGTCTTCAGCCTTTGTATTCGTGGTGACACTCCTGCAATCTTTCAATCATGTGTCATGCCTAGTGATTGTGAATTTTCTGAATGGTCTGAATGGAGTTCATGCACCAAGACATGTCGATCATCTGACTATTCTCCAGGGTATAGAAGCAGAATTCGATTCATAAAGCGTGTAGCTATCGGTGGTGGCAAAGACTGTCCCAATCTTGAGGAAAAAGAAACTTGTAATATTGGAGGAGAAAGATTGCCACCATGTCAGAGGTATGTCTGACTTACAAATTCATTGATTTCAAAGCAATAGTGAAGTTAAAAAATAATACACTCAGTTTATGCTCAAATAATTCTGTTGCTAATTATTCTCAGTAGTTATACATTTCCTCAATGGGGTTTTACAGTGCTGTAATACACCAAATTGAACTTAGACAATGGTCTTAATATTGCAAAATGTCTTGGCACACCTAGACAGGATGGAAATGTATTCACTTGACAGGTACTAAAAGACTTAGGTAATTAGAAAAGTGTGCTGGAAGAGAGCAATAATGATAGATTTGAAAGTGTTGAGAAATATTGTAGGTTGATGCAGTTAAGGAAGAGAATTGCAACTTGTGGAGCAATGAAGACTTAGACTTCGAATCAATAGTAGAGTGAAAGAAGGTGAAATCAGACAGTCAGACATTGTTTGAATAATCGGACATGAGTTGTTATTTTGAGCTGAAAGAAATTCAAGAGCCAAAGTGAGATGAGGGAATTTTTTAATGATGGTGAATATTTTGAAATGAAAGTGTTGGAAGGTATGGGATAGGCTTGGATAATGGCGTTTTTGACAGCCTAGAGATTACACACAATTTAATTTGAAAGGCGTGACTGGGACATTTGCTGAAGACACAAATTGGCTGGGAAAAGGATAGCTATAGACTGCAGGATGATATGAATGTTATGGTTGAGTGGGCAGAAAAATGACAAAAGGAATTCAATCTGGAGGAGTGCGAGGTTATGAATTTTGGAAGGGCAAATAAACCTAGGAGTACACAATGAATGGAGAGCATGTCCATAGGTCCCAGAAAGTTGCAAGGAAGGTAGACAAGGTAGTAAAGGAGGCAAATGGGATTCTTTCATTCAAATGACAAGGTATAGAATAAAAAAGTAAGGATGAAAATCTGTTAGGCCACAGATTGAGTTTTGTGCACAGTTCTGGTCACCACATTATAGGAAGGACATTATTGCTCTTTGAGAGAGCTCAGAGGAGATTTGCAAGAATGTTTTCAGGGCTTAAAAATTATAGCTATAAGGAAAAATTGAGTAGGGTAGTGTTGCTTTTCTTAGAAAAGAGGAGGTTGAGGGGGCACTTGAATTGAGGTGCTAAAAAGAATAGTGGCTTGGATAGAGTGGGCAGGGAAGCCCTGGTCCACTATTGAAGACAGCAATTACCTGCAGCTACAGACCTAAGCTGTTTCGTTGGAAGAAATAGAGGGGACATAAGGAAAAGCTTTTTCAACGAGGAGCTGGTGAGTAAATAGAATTCACTGCTGAGTTTGGTGGTTGTGACAAAACCCCTCAACTCATTTATCCAGGATTCACACCTGAAGCACTGTAACTTGCAGGGCTATAGTTATGTTGACTGAATGTCTTGTTTCTGTTTGGTAACTTTTCTATGATTTCCATAATTTCTACCTTGAGAACCAGTAAGTAGTGTATTAAGGAAACTGAGGATGACATAGCATTGATGGAATCTACTGGAGGGTGGAATTGGAACCATGGATCATCATTGAATCCCTACAGTGTGGAAACAGGCCCTTTGGCCCAACAAGTCCACAATGATCCTCAGAGCATCCCACCAGGACCCGTCCCGCTATAACCCACCTAAGCTACACATCCCTGAACACAATGGGCAATTTAGCATGGGCAATCCAACCAGCCTGCACATCTGTGGACTGTGGGAGGAAACTGGAGCGCCTGGAGGAAACCCACACAGACATGGGGAGAATGTGCAAACTCCACACAGACAGTCGCCTGAGGGTGAAATTGAGCCCAGGTCCCTGGCACTGTGAGGCAGCAGTGCTAACCACTGAGCCACCGTGCTGCCTACAACCAATTAAGGAAGTGAACATAGAATACTTTGGGGATGGCTAGGATATAGAATTTGAAGCTCCTCAGGGCCAAAGAGGGCCCTCACATTGTGCACTGTTGTGTTGAGGCTAAATAAGTATAATTGTTTAGCGTGAACTGTGATAGAACATTTTGATATAAAAACCAAGCTACAGTAAACTTACAACTGATCAATGTTATCATGGTTTTAAATAGTTTGACCACTGCAGTGCAAACTGTGGCCTTTTTCAACTATTTAATTCTTGTTTGTTAATTGAGATGACGTTAATACTGCAATTATGAAACCAGAAACCCAACAAACAGTATGGAAATAGGAACAAAAATATCATAAAGTAATGATTATGATAGCTAGGGCTTTGTAAGGGAAAACGTATTCACCTTGTGATTAAAAATAGAACCCAAAATTCTACTTAAAAGAATTATACGTGGAATTTTCTCAGTGCCTGAAGGATGTCGGCCATGATGAGACAGAAGAATACAGCAAGAATGAGAAAAGCCAGATTCTGCACACAATTTTTAAGACACAATGCAATGCTAGCTAGTGAATAGCTGATTTACATGTATTAATGTTTCATTATTACTTAATCTAGTGTCATTTATGTGCAGTTTGCTATTTTTCCAGGCAGTGGCGTGAAATTCAATGATAAAAATTCCTGACATGAAAGCCTGAATGCTACCGCCAGGTAGTCAATGTGCTGGTCTCTCTGCCTGCGATCCACCTTAGCCAGTATTTCCCAACATTGCAGAGCATGTTCCACTGGCAGTGATTAGCTGCATCCCTTATCCACAGAGGCTGGCATTGGACAACAACCACCTTCACCACATTATAATGTCACATCTTAATTCACTTATTACAGTTCAGCATTTCAACACTGCACTGACACCAGATCCAGAAACATTTACGCCCTCTACCACTGGCACTGAGCAGCAATATGTGCCATTTGTAACTTGTACTGCAGGAATCTACCAAAACTCCTTTGATGTCATCTTCCAAACACATGAACACCACCATCTAGAAGGACAAGGACAACAGATACATGGGAACATTGCCACCTACAATTTCCCCTTTAAGCCACACAAAATCCTGACTTGTAAATATATCTCCATTTCTTCAGTGCTGTTGGGTCAAAATCCTGGAATTTCCCCCTGAACACTATCATGATCTACCTACACCAAATGGACTGCAATGGTTCAAGAAGACAGATTACCACTACCTTGTCATGGGCTACTAAGGATTGGCAATAAATTTTGGAAATCCCACTTTCCATGAATAAATAGAAGAAAAAAATAAGTAAAATTTATGAGAGGTGAATTATAACAAACCACAAATATGTTAAATTCCACTGTCAGCTACACATTTCCATTTTCCAAGCAGTAATGCAAAGAATAGCTAACTGTTTTACTTCCTTTGGCATTAAAATAAAGAACCAAGAAAGTACTTAACTTTAAATTGGTATGAGTGGACTGCTTCAGAATTGTCTGCTCATCACAAGCCTGTCTTCAAAATGTTCATAATTTTAATTTCATAGATGGTCAACTTCTGCACATTCTCAAGTTTGAATAAAGTAACTAGGAAATGAGTAATATGGATTTATACAGAAATTCTGTAGTGTAGATCAGAGGAAAAACAAATGATACAAAGTATTATAGATGGTTAGCAATGCATTGCATCATTGTGCTCGAGGCAGTAATTTAAAAGACAGTGAAGCTTGAGCAGTTTAATGTCAGTATTGTTTGATTGAATGAATCCCTTGTACTGCATTGCCAGGTGTTTATATTTCTTGTGTAGTGTGCCAAATAAATAGTAGTAGTAATGGTTTTGTTTTCTTACTGTAGTTCTAAAATCCAATCATCGATTGAACTTAAGTTGATGGATGACTTTGAATCTGTGTTGCTGTCAGCAGTGCATGTTGGACATCATTGTCAACCCAGGTTATTGGGAAATATGAAACCGAGGCAGGTAAATAGAGTTGAAATCCAGAATAGTCATAATCTAATTGAAAGGAGGAACATGCTTAAGGGCTGGATTGCTTACACTTTCTTCTTGTATTTTCCGCTTGTGATTAATGTGAACGGTCAGGATACTGAGAATCACATATTTAAATGTGCCCTTGGCAGCACGGACTTTAAAACTACTTACTTAGTATTGGATGGATGAAGTATTTGATTCAAATCTAGGTTCTCTGAATAGATGCTTAAAGCTCCACCAAAAGAAAACTTGGAATTTGTACCATAAGTTAGATTACAAGTACCTCAAAAGTAATCAAGTAAAAATGTCAAAATAAGTGGAAAGCCCATCAACTTATCAAAATTAACCATTTGAGGAGTAAAATGTTTTGGAGAATCTTCCCACTTTATATTATCGGGAGATGGTCCAATGCAAAACTTAACAGCACATGGATATAATCAAACAATAACTAGATTGATACATAGTGAGCATTCAGCGAAATGACTTCTCCTTGAAGAGAGATGCAGCAGGAAAACAGGACTATGATCATCCAGGAACAAGGCTCTGAATACTTCTGTGGATTTTCCCCCGTGACAGGAACAAGAATACAAAGATCGTGTGTGGCAAGAATGAGCGTTAAAATGCTTTAATTTCTTTCAATTACTTCAGTCATGAGGATAGGTTGAAGAAGTTTGGACTGTTCTCTTTGGAGAGAAGAAGGTAGAGGAATTTGATAGGGTTTTCAAAATCAAGGGCAGGCTGGACGGGGTAGCTAGGGAGGAGAACAAGAATGAGAGGACATGGATTTAAAGTGATCTGAAAAAGAAACAAGGGTCATGTGGGAAAATCTTTTTTCACTTTGCAAGCGTTAGGGTATGGAATGTACTGAATGGAAGTGTGGTGGAGGCAGGTTGAATTGAGGCATTCAAGAGGGCATTAGATGATCATTTGGATAGAAATAGCGTGCAAGGGTTTGGGAAAATAGCCATATGTTGACACTCGGTAATGATGCTTGATTGCAAAGTTGGTGCAGATTTGCCTCCTTCCGTGCCATAACGATTCTGCGATTCCAGCCGGAAAAAATTTTCTATTCTATTTTCAAGTGATTTTCAGACTGAAATAGAACCTTCAACAAGGTAACTAAACTGATCCGTTACACATGAAACATGATTCTTAGAAGGCGAGAGTGGCAAGTAATGTTTTGTTG